CTCACCGGTATTTTGGTGTCTCCTCGCGTTCTGCTTGACAGCCTCTCCCGAGGGGCATCTGCCACCCCCCATTTCTTTTTTCCTCCAGTTTCCACCTCCACCTTCCTCCATATTGTCAGTCCCTCATCCTGATGCAGACCCTGGGGTTATCCCTGCTGGTGCCCGCACTCCCCCCCGTATCAAGTGTTTTCTTGTTCGGCTCCCTGATTGCATGTCATCACTGTAATTATTTTTACATTGTCCCATTACAGCTCTTCTCTGCCTCCATCCTGCTTCCCCATACTCTGTTTCATTTTAAGTGCTACAGCTTCCATCGTTGTGCTCCAAGGTATTATGACAGAACTTATCCTACTTTAGAACCACATTGATCCATTAGCATTATTCAGACTCTGTTTATTTCCTTTGCATATGGTTTATTTCACTGCAGTTTGAAAACACTGCTATTTCTTTTTCTTTCCTGAGATATGCAGCTTTAATCTTAGCCTTTCCTAGCTGTAGTTCATTTTTTACCATTTCTCTCTGTGATGCTTATTTTCATTCTGACAAGAAGTGAGCTGTTTATTTATTACAGAGAGTTTCTGGTAGCAGGCACGATGTGCAAACTGCTGTATCTAACCACATGTTTGCATGCTAGATAGATGTAGAAGCACACCTGGCAACATGCATTCAAGGAAAGTTGGAATGTCCACTTGTCTGGCAAATGAATAGACTCTTGTGACTGATGTGTTGAAGCTGTAGTGGAAATATTAATTGCAATACTGTAGTTCACTGTAACAGAGGTGTTTTTTCTGACTCTTGTATTATTGATGGGAACTTTAGCTTCATGTATGACGATTATGCAGTGTGTTGCTTGCAAACCAACTGTGCAAAATGCCTATATAAAAGTATAGATAATACTGGGGCCTTGATAGTTCCTATTTGTGAATGTAATACTAAAAAATTCAATTACAGGACAGTATTGCATTTTATTTTTTTACATTATGGTTTCTGTCATATGTGGGTGTATATGAAAATGGTGAAAAATGATCACTTTCTAAACAGTTCAGAAACTAAACCACTGCATTTAATGCAGTTGCAGCAAAAAGAGGAAGAGGTATAAGGGGGAAGAGGTATAAGTGGGAAGAGTGTAGATGCGATCTCAATGTGTATTAAAGCTTATATGAAAAGGCAGTCAAGTCTTTAGGGTGGTTTTGAATAAGATGAGCCTTTGCAAACAGATTTGAAGATGGCTTTCCAGCCAAAATGGGATGTTATCCTTGTATAGTGTTCTCATGTTATTTTTCTCTTCCTAGAATGCCTAAGTCAAAGGAACTTGTGTCTTCAAGCTCATCTGCCAGTGATTCAGATAGTGAAGTTGACAAAAAGGTGAACATTGTATGCAGTTTATTACTACTGTATTAACTCTTGTATTTCAGATTGGGGTTAAGGAATTAGGTGAGCATTATGTCACAACATGCAAGTCATTCCATATGATTTATCAGACACTTCACCCAAAAGACCCTCTTCTCCCACCCCCATCATCTCCATCAACTACAACAACAAAAAACCCCTCCACCTCCCAAGATCGATCGGAGTCTGGGTGAATAGATTGCTTTTTGCTTTGCAGTAAACTTTTTTCTGAAGTTGCATTTTGCTCTCTTCAGGGTTTTCCATAGGATATATCTACCTACAAGTTTACTGGAATTCTTTGCTGCTTTATGGCGAGTGATAGAAGGCTTCTGTGTGAGCTGCCCCTGGTGGGAAGAATTTGCCTAGTTTTGAGGACAAACACCCCCACGCATGCCTTTTGATATCTGGATTACTTGTCCAAAACAAAAACCTCCACTTGCTTTGTCCTCCATGTGCCACTTGTTTATCTTGTTAGCGTGTTCTTCTCTGTTTCTTCCAAATTCTTATATTTACTGTAATACCACCTGCTAGTTTCTCACTTAAAAGATGAGCCAACCTGAATGTCTTTGAGTTGGTTAATTTTAACATGTTGACTGTTTCAAATGTATAAATTGAGTGTTCCCATTTATTTTTAATAGTTAATGTGTAAGTTTGTATAGCTGTACCAGTCGTAATATTACAAGCAAAACTGAAAAAAAAAAAAACAGTGAATTTTATCTTTTTAAAAAATGCTAGGTGGTTACACAGACATCAGGTCTCTTTGTGTAGTCTGTGAAGAGGCTCAGTCTGCTTTACTGAATTGTTTCAAATGTGACTTGGTTGTACTTTGCAAATTAGGTGCTCTGTCAAATCTTAATATAAGAGAAAATGGTCAGATGATTTTTTGATAGGGAAATTTATTCCTGAAAAGACATAGTCTAACAGTCTGCTTTAGTGGGCAGTAAGGTGCTTTTTTTTCCTGTTATAATCTCCAATATTTATTGAAACTGTTTGTCTTTAAGAGATTACCCACAATACGGTTCTAGCAGGTGAGACTAATTTTTGCTATCTTTGTATTACTCTTTTTTGGAACAGGCATGGTTACTATATAACCATTAGTAGAAATAGTAACTTTTTAGTATCTGCAGGTAATCTGATTTACATGTGGTATTGTCTGAATGTTTTAAAACTATGTTTAATTGATCATGTGATGGACAGAGATTTGATGGTGATTTTAAAAAAATCTACTATGACAGAGGTGATTTCCAGATCCTTTCTTCATTATCTCATCTTTATTTCTTCTTTTTTAGAAGAGTTGTAAGCTGTCCTGTGTATTTTTGTTGTACTTGGAGGAAAGGAAGGTGAAACTTCCATCAGACTTCAAATTTTTTATTAAAACTACTGAACCAATAGTATTACTGTGCAGAAAGAGTAGGCATTTTGAAATGTGTTTTGATCTAATTCAGTTCTCTTTAAAGCCAAAGTATTATGGTAAACTTCACTGGGAACAGAATGAGGCTCATTTGAAGATTTTTTTTTTAAATTCCAATCTAAATGTACAGTATTGGATTCTTGCCTTTACATAAGGAAGGTGATAATGTGCATTGCATGGTAGTATTTTGTGGCCCTGAGCATAAACCTTTTTGTAACTTCTACAACAAGTTGTGGTTCATGCTTTTCTTGTTTTATTCTTGCTCCAAGGCAAAACGGAAAAAGCAAGCAGCCCCCGAAAAACCTGTAAAGAAACAAAAGACTGGTGAGAGTTCAAAAGGTGCAGCTTCTTCTAAGCAAAGCAGTAACAGAGACGAGAATATGTTTCAGGTAAAATTGATGACTCTTAGAGCCTGGTTAAGGTAATGTGTTACATCATATTCAATATAAATTTTACAAGGTAATCTGAATATCTTGACAGCATAGTCCTTGGTTTCCTGAAGCCTTGGCCAAAGGGGATTACGATGCTAGCATGCAGATGGGCAGCTCAGAAAAACCATTGTCAGGTTTCAGCAGAATAAAAGAATCTGAGTTGTAGCAATTGATCTAACCCTCATGTCTTTGCCTGTGAGAACTCTGAGTAGTCATTTTGTTGGTAAATAGAGCACTTGCCATCAGTATACTGTAAATACTAGATCAGGACTATGTCTACATGGAAATGTTTTTTTAATCAGGGCTCTTGAAAGAAAAGTTCTTAGAAACTGAAGTATGGGCTCTTCATTCCTATTTAACTAGGTCAAGGGCAGCTTGGCCTCTATTATAAGACAGTGTCTTGGAGTAAGTTTTGCTTGTTTTTTGGTTTTTATGATGCCGGTTTTTCTCACTGAACATCCAAACCTATTGTAATTTTTGACATTGTTCTTTGTTTTAAGATAGCATGAACATACATTTTTCAGTAGCAAGATGCATTTGTGAATTCAGGGTATTGAAGTTCATGGGGTTAGCTGAAGCAGTAGCAGTGTGTGCTGAAAGCTATGCAAGGAAATATATAACTCAAAATGACCTGTTTTGGGGTGTGGATCAAGGCTTACTAAATGTCTCTGACTAGCTGGGTGGAAAGGAACTTAAATTCTTAGAGACTTTCATTCTTAAGTTTATGACACAGTATTACCAAGATGGTAAGGGGACTGGAGCATTTCTCATATGAGGAAAGGCTGAGAGAGCTGGGGCTGTTTAGTCTGGAGAAGAGAAGACTGAGAGAGGATCTGATCAATACCTCTAAGTACCTGAAGGGTGGATGTCAAGAGGATGGGGCCAAATTCTTTTCTGTGGTGCCCAGCAACAGGACAAGGTGCAGTGGGCACAAACTGGAACACAGGAAGTTCCAAACGAACATGAGGAGAAACTTCCTTGCTCTGAGGGTGTCAGAGCACTGGGACAGGCTGCCCAGAGAGGTTGTGGAGTCTCCTTCTCTGGAGAGATTCAAAAATGTGATCCTGTGCAACCTGCTCTGGGTGATGCTGCTTTAGCAGGGCGCTGGACTAGATGATATCCAGAGGTCCCTTCCAACCCCTGCCATTCTGGGAGAGGTGCCTAATAAGTTGTGCCCAACACCAAGTTAGGCAAAAGAAATGGTTTTGGGCTGTAGCTGTGCAAAGTAATACGGCAAAAAAATATTTTCTAGAGAGAAGACCTGCTTAACTGACACTGTAATAGAGGACAGTTATTTTTAATGCATCAGGCAGTTCTCACTTTCCTCTTCACACATAGTTGAGAGGGAAAGCTTCAATTGGAGGCAATGCCTGGACTTTCCCATTGAGAGAAGAATATAATATTTTTAGTTCTGCTGGGGCACGCTTAGAACCATGTAGGAAAAATGAGACAGTTCTACACTTCATGAGGTGAACTGCAATTAGAATTAAAAAAAAACCCCCACCTATGTATAAGTTTTATGCTATGTTTGTAATAAGTTCAAAAATTCCAGCCTTGGGGAAAGCGGTTAAAATTTTTAATGCTCCCCAATGGAAAAAACCAAACCAAAAAAACAAACCCCCAAAACCAAACCCTTTCAAATGAAAGCAGAATATTTGTATGCTCTGATTTCTTTCAATCTTTTCGACCTAAGATAATAAAAAGTTGCTAAAAACAGCCAGTAGAGGATTCCTATGAGTCTGAGAAGAACAAGATTCTTCCAGTGTTGAGTATGCTAAAGAAAAAAAATTTGAACATCACCTTGACCTGTAACTGTTACTTAGTCTCTGCCTGCCCTTTAGTTAATCAACAACAATTTTTTTTCTTAGATTGCTTATTTTATGTGAAGCACTGTGAGATTTTTTTCATGCTACATCAGCTTATGTGTGGTAATTAAGATGCAACCATTTCAGTGTAGAAATAGCACTGTAGGTCTGAGGGTACTTCCCCTCTCCCTACCTAGGAGAGCATGTTAGAAGATCTAGTTGTGTATTAATTTTTTACATAGGGTTTTGTTTGTTCTAGGACTATTAGTAATACTAGAAACTCTCCTTTCTGCTTTCATAGAATCATAGAGTGGTTTGGGTTGGAAGGGACCTTAAAGCCCCTCTAGTTCCACCTCTCCTGCCATGGGCAGGGACACCCTCCACTACACCACATTGCCCAAAGCCCCATCCAGCCTGGCCTGGAACACTTCCAGGGATGGGGCATCCACAGCTTCTCTGGGCAACCTGTGCCAGTGCCTCACCACCCTCACAGGGAAGAATTTCTTCCTAACATCTAATCTAAATCGACCCTCCTTCAGCTTAAACCCATTGCCCCTTGTCCTGTCACTACACTCCTTGATAAACAGTCCCTCTCCAGCTTTCCTGTAGGCCCTTTCAGGTACTGGAAGGCTGCGATTCGGTCTCCCCAGAGCCTTCTCTTCTCCAGGCTGAACAATCCCAACTCTCTCAGCCTGTCCTCATAGGAGACGTGCTCCAGCCCTTTGATCAACTTTGTGACCCTCCTCTGAGGGCCCTTCCCATGGCAAGAAAATGATCTCTGATGTGCAAGTGACTTTGCAGTATAACTTACAAGTGTGGCTTCAACTTAGGGAAACCAGGCTGTAAAGCATTCATAGGATAGTCAGAAGTTCTGTGGTGTCCATATTGTGTGTGGGAGTGGCAGCAAACGATGCTGAACTTAAAGGCTTGTTGTTCTACACCTTTAGGCTGTGTTCTTAAGGTATACAGCTTCTGTTAATATAGGGCTTGCTGTGGCAGCTGTATTGAGAAGATTCAGCATTTTCATCAAGATCTATGTTTTATTATTTTTGAGACTAATGTTAGTGTAATGGTATCCCTGATGCTAATTATGAAGAATAGTATAAATGTAAGTAGAAGGGAATTAATTCAGTATCAGAGACGGAGTGTATTTTATTTACTTATTTACATGTCTTGGCCTTTTTAGGTTTTATAGGTAGCCTAGTATGCTTTGGAATTTCTTGAAATGTTTGAGTGCAGCTGGGGTGCAGAAATTTATCTTACTCTCATTTGTGATGTACTAGAGGCCCTATGGATGAGCATTATTTGTGTTAACATGGAAGAGTTTAGGGTTGATATATTAGACTCCTGTCCATGGCTTCAAGCCAGTGTGAGCTCTGCATCATGTGTTTTAGTCAAGTTTGACAAATCCTGTCATCTCCCTATGCCTGATTTGGATAAGGTGTCCTAATGCTGTCAGGATACAGTATTAATGACTATCCAGAGTGGAATCATATCTCACATGATCGTGCATTTCACTGAAATCATCCTTCTGTGTGTTGTCCTGCCTCCCCACCCCCTTTTTTTAATTTAAAGTTTAGGTCGTATTTCCTTTTTGACTTGTGAGAAGTAAGTTCTTCAGTTCCCTAGAAATATCTTTATATATCACAGGATCCTGAAAGTAGATAAATATTTAAGTTTATGATCCTCTGGGAAAATGATTGGTTTAGCACATTAATTCTGAAACTTAAGTGGTCACTGATGCGTTTCACAATCAATTTGCTGTGTTGCAGATAGCACTGTTTACAGGACTCTTTATTGTGCTTCTTCTAATGCTATGCATACAGTTATCAGCTAAGAAAGAAGGATGTTTTTTGCTGTTTCTATTTCCACAGTGTGTGTACAGTTTAATCATGACAAACTGGAAATGGAAGTGGTGAAGGTGGTTGCTGAAACTCATACAGGAAGTCAGTTGCATAGTTGTGAAAGGAACCTAGACACAGTTCAGTGCATTTTATTCTAAGAAACAGAAACCTGGAAATAATGCTTTTAATGTCTTCTGGTTTATATAATTCAATAAAATAGTATAATCTAAGGATCCATAATATTTAATAAAAAGTGTATGAACTTGTCTGTGGCAGTTGAACTGCAGTAACTACGCTGCAGTAAGTCAATACGACCCTTGGAGCACTACTGTGGCTATCGAGATACAACGGTGTCTTAGATCAGTGAAATTATCCTAGGACTATCAGCTGCTGTGTGAGAAAAGAATTGTTCAGAAGTTAATCTGTGCCAGAACTGCAGGTAACTGAATAGCAAGGAACATCAATTTACTTAAATGTAGATTTTTGTTGAGGTTTTTAACCTTAAATGGTATTTGAAACTGTACTTTAAAAGCCTATTTAAAGGTTTTAGCAGTGGCAACTGTTTTGCATAGAGTTCAACTGAACTTTCAAGATTTAATGTGAGCATTCTGCTGAAATCTAGACAGTGATATAAAACCGAACTTAATTTCAACATTTTCATACGGAACCATTTCCATTTAAGGTAGACTTAGTGATTGAGTAAATATGAACTTTGCATTATTGCCCCTTGCCTTACTGTAGTTGAATTAAGACATACAGTCTTATCCTTAAAATGAAAATCCTAAACCTTTGCAGCTGCAAATCAGTAAAATCTGCTATATTGTATCAGATTTTATTTCCTAGAGTAAATCTGGAATTACTTGGCAATGTGGTAATATTCTTTGATAGCCCTGGAAAAAGATGATTTTGTAGAGTACTACTTCTTGAAGCTGTTCTTAGAGGTGGCCTTAAAAGTCACTGGAGTATTAAAGGGTAAAACGAAGAAATGTTGTTCATGTAGGCTATTTAGGATATACTTTGCCAGCAGTGCTGACAAACTTGGGCATGGTACCAAGTTTGGTCTGAAAGAACTAAGCTACCATGATATCATACCTTATTTTGAATGTTAAATTTGTAGTACTGTGAAAGTATTTAATAAATCAAAATCCTGTAATGTCTTGTTCATTTTAAAGGATGCTTTCAAGTAGGAAAACAACATCTTCAGGCTTATGGTATCTAAAGACATCCTAATTGTTTAAAATCTGTTTTAGAGTTAATTTAGCATGATCTGCATAAGAAGAAAAATTACTTTAAGCAAACATGAAGTGTTCTTGTTTATATTTTGTGAAATAACAGCTTATGATTTAAAACATCTGTGGATGATTTTAGTTGATTTAGTTGATTGGAGAGTTGTTCAAGCTTTCTGGTCAGACAATGCTAGTAAGATGTGTTTGGGTCTTTGTTAAATTATATCAAGATGCATAAACTGAGACAGTTGAAAACTAAAGTTAATGTTTTATCAGGAAGCAATAATCTGTTCTAAAATTGTTTACTTTAGAATGTGTTCTTTCTTCATAAAGTGTATCCAGAAGGTGCACACAGAATTTTTTTATACATTAATTGTATTTGATTGTGTTATATCTAATTTCTGATTCTCAAATTCACATTATACTTTGAATTTATGTGAACAGATTTTTTTAATCAAATTTGGAAATAGCTTTAGTAAGCCTAAATATGTAGTGTAATGCGTAGTTGTTATTAGTGTGCCTGTCCCTCTACCCCCCACCTCCCTAAAAAAAAAAAAAGCACGTGTAATTCTGTTGAGCCACTATGGTGCAGAAATTATGGAATTCTGAAGTCATTTGATGCTATGCTACATGCTGGTAAACTTAAAGGATTTGGAATTTTTTTTTTAACATCTGTTACAGTGAGAAAGTCTTAATCACAGTTTCAATGAAGTGCCATGAGGACTTGGGAACAGGCATGGTTCGTGGCTTACTTTCATTTCCATCTGTATTTACTGTGTTTAAAACAAGAAAAAACCCCAACCAAACAAAAGCACCTCTAGAAATTGTGATTATCTCATGTGAATATCTAATTTGATTTCTATGCATATTGCATGGACTAAAATTTAGATTTGGGAGTAGAGCTCTTTCTTTCCTTGTTTGTTTACAACTGCTGCAAAGATGGTTATAATACAGGCAAAATTTTATTTCAGAAAACAGTATATTATTGGTTTTTGTAAGAAGTGAGCTTATAGGTATTTTTATTCTAGGAGAACTACTTTTGTATTCAGCATTGAATGCTCAACTCGTCTTATGTCATTCATCCATTTATATTGTCATTACTTATTAGCCTACTGACTACCCTAGATTAAGCTTTTGATCTAGTTGTTTCTCTAGTGTCCGAAATAAGCTGCAGTGTGCAAGGTCACATATCTGAGTCTGATACTGCTGGGGAAAAGTGAATCTGTAAATACCTAAAAGATCCTTGTGTGTGTTTTGACAGATTGGCAAAATGAGGTACGTCAGTGTTCGTGATTTTAAAGGGAAAGTCTTAATTGATATTAGAGAATATTGGATGGATCAAGAAGGTGAAATGAAGCCTGGCAGAAAAGGTACTGTGCTGCTTCATGTCATTTTGTATTAAAACATTGTCTGCAGTTTCCTGGACAACTCTGTATATCAGATTTCTATACTTCATTGCTACATCATATTTTTAGAGTAATACTTTTTTATATTTTATCAGTTTTATCTGGAATTTATAAACAAAAGCATGCTGGGCTTGTTGGTCTGTTTTCCTAAATGGAAAATTTATGGAAAGCAAGGCATCAAACACAAGCAAATGTGGTATGGGAGCTATAAACATAGTCATACTTTCTTTACCTCCATTAACTCAATTTCTTTTTTTCTATTACAATTGGATTTCTTATTTCAAAATTCACTGAAAGGATTTAACTTACTCATTTGTGTTAAAGTTAACTTCTTTAAACAATTATGTCCTTCTATTTCTATCAAATTTCAGGTTAAAATAATTGAAACATTTAATGTGACTAATTTTTGAAAAAATAGTGTCAAGATTGTAGTTGAGGTGAAAATACTTCAAGTATTCTCTAATTTGCAGCACAGCATAAGCCATTGAACCTTTAAGTGCCACTCCCATACCTGCTTTTCATGGTATGCCTTCACCCAACCGTTTTCAGAACTTTGCCACCTGCAAGAAGAGGATGTGAGGATAGCTGCAGTAGTAGCGCTTTGCTTAATGTCATGTTGCTTCTGTTAGAAAAGCCTGCTTTTAATCATTTTGCATATTGTGCCAAGGAGAGAGGTAGGTATGAAACATTCTGCGTGGGAGATAGAAGACATTTAATATTGAATCAGCATAAGGCTTCTGGTATGTCCAGGAGCAACTTAGTGAATAGACATTTGGAAAGCTTGAGAAGTATTTTCAATATTTGTTAAATAACCATTGAGAATAGGTTTGTATGAACATGCGTACTGATAGTCTACAGGAATATTTCTTGTTTTGGATTTGTAGTTGCTACTTAACAAAAATGATCAACTTGTAAGGACTTTAACCTGCTGTGTTTTGAGGTCCTGCTCAACCTACAGAGAGAAAGCAATGAAGGACAGAGAGAAAGCAATGAGGGAAGCCTGATCCTGAGGGGGGAGAGCTGGGGGTAAATAGTAGAAGAGCCTTGCTGGAGAGAGTATGAGAGTCTGTACTTGCATAGAGGCAGCATAGAGATTGTAGGGGAAGAATGAAGAGAGTAAAGCGTAAAGGAAACGTGTCTGGACTCAAGCTTGAAGTACAAATTTAGAATTGAGGAGATGGATTGTGGGGCACTGAATGTTTATGGATTAACTGTCACTAGAAATTATAGTGAACTTTAAGTGGAAAGAAATAACTTCCATGTTGGTTTGTGAATACTGGGGAGTGGAATGGAGTCTCTCCAAAATGTTACTTGAAGTATGTATTATTTACAGTGCTTTAAGAAGCAGGAGGAAAAAATCCCCAGAGTTATGGCTACTTTAAAAGTGCATAGAAGTTCAGTCCACAGAGATACAGCTTTTAGGAGCCAAGAGGAATACAGATAACTTCCTACATCTCACCCATGGCTTCTGTGCTGTCTTCTATCAAAGCCAGAGCTGTATTTGACTTCTTGTGTTTAGCCTAAGACTTGTGAATGAATTTCTCACATTGTACTCATTTTCTTTGTAATTTAAACTTATCTGGAGATAAGCTAAACTGAAGTGTTCCAAATGAGTAATTTTGCTTTGTAACTGAGATGGTTGTTGAAGTAGCTCAAGCATTAGTAGTTATGACATAAACTTTGTGTATGAAACTAGTGTTGATAGTAATTATGCAAGATCCTGCACCACAATTTTCTTTTTAAGTGTTTATTTTTAATGCATTTCAGGTATTTCTTTAAATCCAGAACAGTGGAACCAGCTGAAGGAACAGATTTCTGATATTGATGATGCAGTAAGAAAACTGTAAAGACAGAGCCATACAGAAACTTCTATCATTTTAGTTGTTTTAAGCAGTCTTTTTACATTGGCTTTTGTTTTCTAAAATATTGTTTTCCAAGCTATTGTATATTTGGATTGCAAAACAATTTGTAAGATGAATACTTTTTTTATGTGCATTAAAAGTGTATTCTGAGTGAGGCTATTTGTGTATACTTTACTAAAAGAAAATGTGGTGTTTTCACCTCATGGTGCAAAATAAACAAATGAAATAATATGTAAAGCATACTTGTTCATGGCTTTTTGACTGAAGGAGTTTGCTGATAAGCCCACCTAATAGTTTTAGTCTTTGTTTTAGTTTCAGTTTAGTTAACAGTTAATATGAATTTGTTTTCTGAGGAGATTTAAAATACCTCCATTTAATTCTTTTTCTTTTATTTCATACTCTTTGGTATTGCCCTGACAGCTTTCTGCTTTAAGACTTGATACAAACAGTGAATACATGGTAAAACACATTTTTGTAGATAATTTAAAATGCTGTATTTGCTAATCTACCCTATTTATTCAGATGTAAACAGTCCTGAGTATATAGATTTTTTTTGCATTACTTGCATGAAGTGTTATGCTAAACAATAACACTTGAACACAAGCCACGTGCTATTTCTTCCCGGTTTTCTATAGCTTGCTTGACTTAGAAAATACAATTAGCCTTTTTTCTTGGACCCTAGATTTTAGAATGTGATGCATAAACTTCTATGGTAATAGACATATACCTCAAAGTAAGATAGTATTTAAAAGCTCCAGATGTGGTTATTAGTTAGGTACCCTTTTGAAGCTTTGCATTAAATTCATTCTTGAACACCTCCTGACTAGTTATTCTGTAGAAAAGAACAGTTAACCTGTCTTTTTAGAGCTTTTGTTCATTTGAAAGTATTGTGTAAACAGCAATGCTTAAACTGTGCTGTGACACGGGTTAAACAGTCAAGCAGGGTTAAAATTGCTCCAGCCCAAAGGTCTGGCTCTTGTACTTCTGCCCTGTCCACACTGCCTCCCCATACCACTTACCTTGGCTTTGTGTGGCTTACCTTTGCACAGCTCTTTGACCTTTTGTACAGAGGATACTTGGCACTTAGCATGGGGCACTGGTGCGTAGTGTTATCAGGACTCTAACAAACTTTGCTTGTCAACCATAGTACTATTGTGGTGAGAGAAGCTTCTCTCCAGTCAAAGCTCTGTTAGACTAGGTGCTGCCCCTGTTGAAGGGCTTTTGGTAGGTGCCACAAACAATGGAGCGAAGAAGGGAGAACATAATGTTTGTGTAGAACTTGGAGTGATAAGGGGCACATGAGTATGGAAGGTAACAGTGAAAGATCAAAGCTAGCTGACACTAATTTCAGTGAAGAAATGTAAGTTAGCAGAATTGGAGCAGAGTTCATTTTCTGACTTAATTCAGTTAATCAAAGGAAGGTGAAATAACATGAAAATTGACATTCAAGAATTTGTAGTGAATGTGCAACTTCATTGGTTCAGCTGTAATTTTTCCATTTGATATTAATGTATTAAAATTTGTATAGACAAACAGGATTTACTATTTGCTTAATTTTGGAATATCTTAATATACTTGTTTATTGCAGACATGCATGGAAGTGTCACACACAGACTGTTCTTGTGCTGCAGAGTTTATAATTCAATACAAATAGGTTTTGAAGGGTGAGGAAGGGTGACTTCATCAAATTACGTATGTATTATTTCATTTAAATATTAGATACCTCTACCTACTTTTTAACTTGCCATTGTTGACGTATTACAAATAAAGTTAAGATCTGGTTTTCAGTAGCTCAGGAAATCATGAGTTTTTAAGAGCTGCTTGAGGGTGAATAAAAGGGTGAAGAGATGTTTTGTGGTAGCAGATGCATTTTTGGGCACAACATTCTTTTTTGAGTGACTTAAAGGCATGTAGGGATGTTTGGACCAACTAGAATGAATATGAAATATCTGCTAAAATTTCACAGCTGAGTGAATGCAATAAATTGCTTCAGATCACTATCAATAGGTCATAGGTTTCTTTTTTTTGTTGTTTGTGGTGGGTGTACATGATGTTTTCCATCAAATCTGAAATTTTGCAACCAGATTTCTCCCATTTTATCTCAAAACTTTCATGTAGCTTCTTTAAAGTGCATGATTGTATTAGAGGGAACATTGTGCTCACTTAGATTACTGTGGTAGTAGGTCAGTGGATGGCAGTTGTGTGTCAGAGTACAATATAACTGTTCAGGAAGGTGGAGAATTCAGTTATTTCATTGGGGAAGAGTAAGTGAAAAAGCTTTAATATAGTGATTAGTCCTCTTGTGGAAACTGATGGTAGAGGTGTTCAAAGAAATTAGTATTTGTTGACCAGGAACTATTAGTTCCTATTGTAGATAATCCCCCTTACTGAATTTGTGGTGTTAATTACAGGAGCTATTTATCCCATTTTACTTGAGAAAACTTGGGACAGTTTGATTTCACTTAGCTTGTGTGTTTAAAAGTAGTTTTCCATCTGCCCATTATATTTCTTCTTGTAATAATGATAACATATCATATATTTTACCTGAGCCGATCTTTTACATATGTTTGAATGTCTGACAAAAAAGGTAACTAAATAACCCACAGTTTCACAAATGAACTCCAAACGGGGTGAGTTGAATTGTGAGGGAATTCATTGCACCTCAGATGACTGATGTGCTTGTTACTTGATAAAAATTTGACACATTCAATGTTATTTTGAAATAGTTGGTTGTGATTTGTCATGTAATTGTCTACGGCTGTAGACTTTCTAATTTGAGAAGGAAATTCAGATTTTCTTGAATAAAGATTATTTTCTTGCAGACAAAATGGTAGTTAGGGAACACATAGAGGGGTCCACGGAAGAAAAATGTGCATGTATGAGAAGGCTGTGTAAGATGAGTTGAAAACACTGCTCCTTTTCCCATTGAAGTGGCAAAAGAAAGATACGTTTGATTCTTTATGCAGGGCATATTAGCAATATGTTTTATAAATTAAACCTATTATGGAGCTTAGGAGGAAAAATACATCACAGTTGGAGCTGCCAAAGTACCATATGTGTGATAAATCAAACTGTCATGTACGATGTTGCTCTTATGTAGAGATGTTCATATTGAAATTAAACAAATTCAGTACTAAGTTTGATATTTCTGTTAAAGGAAATGCCCCAGTTACGTACTTTTTATGTGATCTGTTAGAAAAAAAAAAAAAAGATTGTAATTCTGGTAACTCAAATGTCATATTGTTAACAATGCAGAATGTTTCATGTTTTGCTCTGGTGGTATCTACTGCAGAGAGGCCACTGCAAATATGACCCCTCCAACTGTAATTACCTTAATGTAAAAAATAAAAAATAGTTAAATGGAATACATGTAATAACAATTTGAACACTTGGAAATAAATGAAGACTTATGTTGACGTAGCGTTATTTTTAACACAAATATAGCTGCACTAAAACTTGGTTTTTTTCTTAAATTGTTATGGAAACTGCTGTTTGTTTTTCAACTGCTGTAATTTGGAAATTTGAAAACTTAATCATCTTATACTTGGTCCATGTTTACGGGTGGGGAATTGATTGTGTAGCCCAGAGGGATAGAAGTTTTTCACTATGACAGAAGAACAAATGTCATATAAATACGGAAGCAGCAGGTACAAACACACTTTCAAACATCAAACAGAGAAGTGCCTGATAAGTTGCTACTTGTAAGAAAATAGCTGATTATCTTTTTCAGTGGAGTTTCTTTTTGTTCTGACAACAAATGTAACCATAGATTAGATAGAAAAAAAAACCCCTCTACTCACCCATTTATTTATTATCATTGGTCAGTTAGGTCAGTGTAGGCTGCTTTAGGAAGGATATTTGTTTTTCACATGCTTGCTGTGACTGATCTGTAGGGAGTGGATTAACTGAGTGTAATCCTGAACCTAACAGTAATTTTGATTAGTTTAACAATTTATAGCCACAGAAACAGAAATTACTTGGCTCAAAGGGAAGAAATGGAGTTTGGGATTGATGGAACATCATTATGTCCTCCCTGTTTCTCGTTTACTGCCATCCAATTACTTGATATAGGATCTTTAGCTGTAGCTCTGGTGACTATGTATGGAAGAGGAATCTGATAGGCAATGGTTTTTGTGTTATGAATCAAGCCTTCCCCTGCTCTCAGCTTCATATTGCTATGTAAAACTGGAACACCTGCTGAAGAACAGAAATAAATGGTGCTTGGCTTAGCCTCATGGGCAGAGGGACATGCTGTTAGTCATGGGGTTAACTTAAACGTTGAGAAAGTGGTGACAGCTTGTTCCCTTGGTATTGCACTTCATGTAACAAAAATGTTACAATTTTTTGTAAGATCTGCTTAATTTGGTTTTCATTGTACTTCTTACTTGCTTTCAGTGTATCCATATACTCGTCATTGATTGGATGGCGAATGAGTTAGGAACTGAGGTTGGGTGGAGGAGTCAACTTTTTAAAAACATTGTTGTGCTTTGGGAGGAGGTGGGCTCTCAAGCCTCAGGATGAACAGAGCTTGCTGTAAAACTGTGGAAGTTGGTGTAATGAACAGACAGTTCTTGGAGATCTGTAGGTGTATTTGATAAGGCTGATAAGAAGAACATTTATGCCTCCTTGGCCAGCATGCCCAGTAGACTACTGTTAGTTATCAGTTCACTTGGGCAGAAGTTAATGAGAGAAAAACTGCTGAAGTAAAGAAATGGTAAGATTTTACATAACCCTGTTTCTTGTCTTGTTATCTAAGGAAGAACTGTTTCACACCTTAAAAGTTTAAGTGTTTTATGCTATAACTAATAGGTTAATGTGTCAGAATAATTTTCAGGCTGTTGAAAATAAAGCCCATTGCATCTTAGGAACGGAAAGACCTAAGTTGTTCTATTCACTAAAATATCACCACACAACATATTTGAGGGAGATGCTGAGAACAAACTTGAGGTAGACATGACCTATGTAATCTTCGAGGCTTTTTATTATCAATCTCAACATGAAAGGGCTCTGCAGAGCTCCGTTGTTTCCTATTCTTTCCATTTGCCATCCATTACTGAGATCTGCGGTTCCTTCTGCACTTCCTCTATTTGTATTCTGACTGGAGGCATCATTCCATCTCTTGGAACATAAGCATCTCTGGCTACACTCATGTTATCACAAAACAAGGAATATCTTAATGACTGGATCCTAATGATAGTTAGCAGACACAGCTGCTATTGGTAACACAGGCCAATGAATAT